TATAAGGCTCTTCAATTGTCTTGCTCAATAGAAAGGTACACAAAAGAATGACTGCGTTTTCTAAAGCATGTTTGAGATAAAATCTCGTTCACATGACACGAAGTTTGCATTATAAGCATACAAGGTCTCGTACACGCCAGCAAGCATTGCAAGACTACAAAATGGCGGCGCCCTGTCGCCGAATGTAAACAAACCGCGCGATTGCATAAACGCTTATCTATGGCATGGAACACCAAAATCCGATAAATAATTTTAAAAAATGTGTTTCTCTGGAAAAAAACCTGAGGTTTTCAGGATTTTTTAGAAATATCCGGAAGACTTTCATCTCTGTAATAGGCTTGCCAAAAATTATCAACAATTAATCAATTAAAATCTTGTAAATAAAAGTTACTTAATTAGGAGAAATGTAGAAAAAAATCTGCAGTTAACATGACTTTTATCATAAATCTATTGGATTCTAATGCTTCTCCAGCTTTAGGCATTGAAACTGTAACATTAAATGTATTTCACTGCTTATAATTTGACGATGTTTCAGAGAATCTTTTGTTTCTCATCATCCAGCCTATATGATGAGTTATAGTACTGAAAAAAATAAACTTTTGGGTAGTAACTTGAGGGAGACAAAGATTTGAAATGCTATTTATATATTCCTCTTATCTTGAAATGCAATGAACAAATAAAGAGAAAATGGAAACAGAAATTCTGTAGTTAATGTGATTTTTATGTCTATCCTGAATAATAAAAGAAACATATATTATTTCACTATTGATAGCAATAAGAGTAACAAATTTCTATACCTTATGTTTTTAGTTATATTATATTTCAAGTTTTTAATACAAAGCACAAATAATATGAACTGCAGTTTTCAGGATTTTATTTTATTTCAGATCTTCTTTCATCTACCTAAGTTAAGCAAAAACATCACTGGATTGATACTTCTTTTACAGTTAATTATACATGGTCAACAAAGTTCATTAAACAATATCATGTTACAATACATTAAAAATAGTTTTAAAATGTCTACTAGTTTTAAAGCTGTTATAAGAAATAATCATTATAAAATTTGACATACCCTCTTTCTCAGACAGTTTTAGTAATATAGCAAAATTAAAATCTGTTTAAACAATTTAACTATCACATATAATTACAAGAACATGATTTAAAATGTCTTAATTTACCTGGTGTAAATGAGAACATTTGTTTCCACCTATTACTTTGCATTTTTCAACAAATGTTAAATAATTATAACTATAAAATAAAGCCACACATTATGTTAATTGAACATCATTTGTATTAACTTTCTTTTGAAATTATTTTATGATATCACAAGTTTGTTTCTTTTATTTCAACTAATAAGAACTTGCAGCCACAGTAGTTTAATAATAATGGTAAGAAAACTAAATCATTACAAAGTACTAATCCAACTATTACATCACAGATTAACTGAAACTGTGTTGCCAGAACAGCAACTTGAAATTTATGAAAAGATATTTCTACTGCAAAGTACTGCTTGAAAATGTTTCCATTCTGCATCTTCACATATGTAAATCTTCTCTCTTTACTTGTTTCATACTGAAATAAGCTTCTTAAGCATGTAGAATATTTACAAGTTGATTTTTTTAGAAAAACAATTTTCTGACAGTTAGAGAAAATAGTGGACAAAATTAAATTATTGTAAATTCTTATTTAAACAACATTTTCAAAAAAAAAAAAAAGGAGATCTAATCCCATTGAATGAATTACTTATAATCATTGCATTATATAAGTTTGATGTTTTTCTCAGAAACCACTTAGTTGTTAAACGAACACTTTTACATAGTGTTAAATATTATATTAAAATTATTCTGAATATGCAAATGAGTAAGGCACATGACAACCACAACCAATATAAAACGCTGGAGGAGTGGCATGTATCAGAAGTATGTTTTGACATTTGGTAGGTAGTATGATGCCACTGAAATTGATCACTTTTGGGAAATGTATTTAACAGCCCTTTCTGATACAAAATATTCATGCACTTATATCATAGAGATATGTTCTAATCACAATTTAAAATTTTTCAAAACAGGAATATCCCCTGTGCTTAATGGCACTAGAAAACAAAGGAACATGGATCAACTTGGGGTACCAGGAACATCCTGAAAAAGACCTGGAACAAGTCATATACCAGTCATAATGAAGAAAGTGTGGCATTTTGCAACAAGAAATGGAGAGAATTCACAAACAAAAACAGTGGCAAAAGCTGTCCACATGCTCCAGGTAACAGCACACAAAATAATCAAGAAGGATCTCCATGTGAATATGAGGCCAACATGCTATGGATTTAGATAAATCTTTCAGTCATATCTCCTGTTCAATTGTTGCCCACCCCCAGCAGCTGAGGAATGAAAGAAATGGATATTGGTACAGATGCTAATCCATAAGAAAACATACCGGTTCAGTCACCAGGTGAAATGCCTATTCATTTCTGTGTGATCAGAGTGATGAAACAGGTGCTGGGAAACTATCACACTCATAGCTATACACAAATACTAATTTCAAGTCTGAGCAGTAATCGTCCTGTAACATGTACATGCTATTTTCTTACTTAATGATTTATGCTGTAATAACTTTTATTTATATATATGTGTGTGTGTGTGTGTGTGTGTGTGTGTGTGTGTGTAAGGATACACACATACATATATATTATATATACACACATATATACCCTGTTAACTATGTAGAAAATATATCAGTAAGTGAATTTAAGCTCAGAATAAACTATAATTAGATACAAGATGTAATTAGATTGTTTGATATTCACACTTTTTAATAATAAAATGTAGTTTGAAAACTTATTTTCATAATTCATTATTCATAAGATCTGAAATTATACTCATTTTTGCATAGTGTGTAAATAAATATGATTGAATATTGATAATGATCTAATTTTGAAAGCATTTAACTATTCTTATTATTCATCTATGTTTAAAACCTCACCCTTGAATGCTCAATGTCATCAATTGTAGGTTTTCTACACATAGGCCCTTTCTTGGCCCTCAACTGTCCCATTCTTTCTAATCTTTTACTACAGACAGTAGCATAATGGCTCAACCTCAACTGAAAAAAAAATTATGTTGAAAGTTTAATAATAACTCATACAAAAATTAAAAGATTTACAATATTCTTATTAGCAGCACTCCCTCTATAAGTTTTTAAACACTGCAAGATCACAAAAAAATAGATTTAAAAATGGTAATAAAAATCAGAAGAGGCAACAACTTAATCATGAATACCATAATCATATCTGAGACAAATTTCCATCATTATTACAACATATTTATATGTAACAGAAATGTTCAGCATTACAATTGTTATAAGAAATCTCCTTTAATCAATACTCACAAATATTTTTCTAAGTCCACCAACACCATTGTGCAAACAATAAAGTGATTTTGTTTTATTTCTTCATTGAAGAAAATGTTTCAGCATTACAATTTTCTTCATTTAATCTAGCTTACATTTGTTCTTTAATAACATTCTTATTCCCAAAATAAATCAGTATAATATCGTTATTAATATTTCTTTAAAATTTTGGAATGTACATTCAGTGTAGTAAAACCCAGACACATTTTTAAGAAGTTTGGTGTGACCTGATACGTTTTTGTGATTTTCACAGTCAATAATTAACTGGGTAAAAATCAATATAAAATATTGATTATTTAACTTTAAATAAACAAATAAAAAACAAAAAGGGAACACTGGATGAAAAAATAAATGACGCTTCTTCACTCATGGTCATAAAATTAAATGAATTACCATGACTATAACTTTGGGATTGACTTTCACACATCAAAAACATGGTTATCTGTTTGCTGTGGGTATAAATTTTGTCATATCATTCATGAGGAGGTAACTCATGATACACAGAAGCAGCAAAGAGTTATGAGCCTTGTTTTAGCCAGTCATCTAGTTCATTTAAGGTAGGCCTATGTTTAAACTGCAGTGTCATACTGTGCAAAATCTTGTAACTGCAACATTGATTCAAACTTAAAAATCATCTTCATTAAAATTTTGCTTGTTGGTATCTTACTTCAGATCATTTCTAGCTGTCGTTTCTATCTTGTTTCAAGGTTAAGATTTATTAATTACTATCCAACTCAATTACTATGACATCATAAAAGCTTCTCCCCACATGGTTATGTAAAGAAATCACTGATAGAAAAGAAAAATCATGTCAAACTCAAACATGGATAAGTTTATTTTTAAGAGTTGAGAGTTTCTGGGTAAATACAGACCTCTACTTTGGGATTGGTAGGAAAATTCTAAGAAATCTATAAAAGTGTTGTTGACAGGCGATACCACTTGCAGAGATCAAAGTTCAAACGTTTTTAGAACCTTTTATTTGCAAATTACACTAAAAAAAATTTTTACAAAGTCACACAACATCAATTTTTTGACATTTTTTGAGAAAAAACTAGTGAAATAAAGTGGGAATTATTATTTTTACTTACATTTGTTATGTAAGAGTGCAACTGACATCAGAAAGCTGTTCACTGGTTGTAACAGAATAAGTATATCTTCTTCTTTGGGAACACAAGATATTAATTTCTAGAAAAAATGTAGCCCCACAAATAAAGAAATAAATTAAAAGAATCCTACCTGATAAGCAGCAAATAAAAGATTCTTCCTTGTGATGGTTGATGTGACTATCTAGTAAGGATGATATATCAACAAGTGTCTTCATTTAATAAGTAAATAAGACTGGAATTTCTAATGGACTGTTGCTGCCTTCTTTATTGAGTGGGAGAACATTCTGGTTTTTATGCTGAAATCCTCTTTAGTTCCACTAAAAATTCTAACCTTACATATGCACTACCAAAAATGCCCACGAGACATTAAAAACAAAACATTTTACAGAATATTTTACCTGACAAGTACCAAAAGTAGTTTCTTCTTTAAGATAATTGATGTAACTATCTTAAAACAAAGCAAAATTACAGAAGAAAGAGAAATTTTACAAAATATTTTACCTGAGGAATATCAAGTGTAGTATCTTCTTTGTGACGATTGATGTAACTTTCTAAATATGGATGCAACTTGACAGATGGTGGAAAAAAATAAAGACAAATGGCCATCAGCTCCCAGCCTTGCCTCAGACTTCCCCTATGGAAAGAGTTTTAAAAGGTTTAATAATGGATATTATGGCAACATTTAAAAAATTAAACATGTACTAACAATCTGCTGTGGAAAGTATTAAATTAACCACGAGATCCTTGCAATGGAAAACATTACCATATCTAAAATACTTGCTATGGAGAAAAAAACATGTTAATTTTGGAATGAAAGTGTGAATAATATTTTGTAGATAGAGTTATGGTTCCCACTGCAAACTTTTCTGATAAATATTTTGTTCTGTCACATGCGATGCTTAATGGCAATGTTGTCAAAAAATTACCTAACATAAGAAGAAAACAAAGACTTCAGCTTGATACTGGTGTTATCTAAAGTCCAAAAGAAACAATGTATAAAAATTTCTCATCTCAAGTATTACCTAAAATACATCTTTTGAAAAAGAGTCTTTTAAAGCCAGTTCTAAGGTTTCAAAGATTGTTACTGGAAGAAAAAAAAACGTTTTTGCAACATAAATGCATATATCATTAAGAAAAAAAAAGCTAACTCAAAAGATAGAAATTTGTTTGATACTTTAGTACAAAGATGCTCTAATAGTTAATTCTGATTCACAGGAAATTCCCTATCATTTTACACCACAGGTAGACTTATGATCAGATTGTTAAATGATGTACAACCAAAAGACACAATACTTCAAAGTATGGAGCCTTCAATATTCTCCATGGAAATGAAAAACAAACACAACAGTTCATCTAGGACAGCAACAAGCAGTAAAACCAATTAAGAGAAACTTAATTAGTTGCAAAGTGAAAGCTACGGTTTTAAAATAGAACCTTCTAGCTTAAAAAAGTTATTGCAGTTTTTATAAGAAAGACAGCCAAAGAATCTGAAATCATAACAGATGTTATAACAAAAGAAAACTGCAATGTCAGGCAATAACAGTAATCATGGCCATCAGATGAAGGATGTATTCTAAGAGTACCATGGAACCTGGAAAAATCATTCTTATAAAGTATGAATATATTCATTAAACATCTTGAAACACAATACCAAGTTCTGCTCCCACAAATCATTTTGGCTATATTTGGTTTAAAATAATTACCCATGGGTAATATTTTACTATGTTAAATGACCCATGGGTTTCATAACTTCAGGTAATTTATTAATTGCATTCTACTTCCATCCTATATACAACTAGTAACAAAGCAGTTTATTCCACTACTCATACACTGCACTCACAGGATGAATGCATATATACGTTAGATGGTGGAATGCAGGAATGGGTAATGCATCCCATCCCGAATGCTCTCTAGTTTCTGTACATTTTTCATCCCTTACATCCAAACAATTTTGGAATAACATTTTTTGTTATTAGTTTCTGTAATTATTTTTTCTTTCACAGTTACCAATTGAGTGGCTCCATCTATTGATTGATATGGGTATTGGGAAATATTAAACAATCCGTATCATTGAATATATTTTGAGCTATTATTTGCAAAGTGAAAGCTACGGTTTTAAAATTGAACCTTCTAGCTTAAAAAAGTTATTGCAGTTTTTATAAGAAAGAATATAAGTTTTTATATTTCACACATACATTCTGATACCTTGATAACAAACTGAGAAAAATGTACTGAATTCATATTGGTTCCAAATTGTTCATAGGAATGAATAAAACACCCTAAACAACTCATACAAACATGCTGCAAAAAAAAAAAGAAGATCAAACCTATGAGGATTGTTGGTAGTCTGTCGTGAAATCTGGATAAAAAGTTCATCACGAAGGGCTTCTTTGCACCACCCCTTTGTGGCAATGTCTAAAGCCACTCTGTCTACAGTCTGACCAGTTTTTGCCTTACGATCTCCCATATAAACCTGGATCAGTTTAAATAGTTCACGTGCATCTTGCTTCAAAGATTTTTCGGTTGTCATTATCATAGGTTTTCTTATGGGATCCTAAAGAAAAATGTGGAAATACTCACCAAAATGTACTTAGTATAAACATTACTATATATTACATTACATTATATAAGTCCATTTTGTTTAAACAAATAATTTCTTCTACAATTCTCATGTTATTATAAAATAAATTTACTTATCAGTATATAATATATCAAGGAAATTAACAAACTCCATGAACACGTATTATCCTGTATAATAGAAATATTTTGAGCTTATTAAAGTTCACAGGCTATCAAATCATTTTATTATGAATCAAAAACAACAGTTATCAGTAGGACAGCAATTATGTAAGACTTAATCCTAGTTTCTGAAGTATAAAGTAGCACTGTTGTTGAAAAATAAGAAAACAGAAAAAAAAACTATCCATAAGATTTAAAAAATAAATTTTTGAAGCTATATACGTTTTAATTTAATTTAATTTTTATTTATGTTTTACAGGCAAAAATACTGATTCTGAAAAATAAGACAAACAGTTTTTTTTTTTCTCACATGTATAGTAATGCATATATATTTAAAATACACTTGTTGCATTTATTTTCTCACCATGAGTATAAGAAATTAATTACCAATAATACCAGGCTGATACCAAAAAAGAAAACTAATAGACTTCAGGAAAAGTAACAGTAAGAGATTAGACTTGCAGAGTATTTACTGTTGAAAAAAAAAAATAAAACAAAAACAGTAAAGCTGTACTAACAGATAAAATTTTTCTGTCAAATTGTTACTGTTAAATGCAATCCTAACCTAAACATATCTTAACTTTTTTATTCTAATTTGAAATGGAAATATTAAGCAAAATATTTTGGGTAAGAAGTATTAAATGTATAAGAAAAGTATAAAATGTGTACTGTATAAAAGTTTTCATAAACATTATAAGCTGAAACCACTAGCAGCTTAAGCCCATGTTACATTTTAACTCTTTCACAACCAGATGGATAAATTCTACCTCGAGGACAACATTGCACCATTGAATCACAAAAAGTATAGAAAAATAAACTTATAGTAATTTTTATGCACATAAAAAATAAGCAAGACTACAGAATTGAAGTTTATTCTGAAAAAAGTTTTACTGATTTAATTTTATATATAAACATAAAAAATTGCACAATTTGATTTTGGGTTGATTTCAGCATGTTCCAAACGAAATCATTAATGTATGTGAATTTCTTTAATTTTTTTTCAGAGCACAATATCCTACTTGTAGCTCAACAGAGGGAATGTCATAAATGTTTTGAACACAATATTGCTAATTTGTCCTTGTAACTTAAATAAAAGTGCAATTTTTTTATTCTTACACAATCACTGATTCTTAAATAGATGTCACTTAATTGTCTATATCTCAGCTTCAAGTAGCTATGAGCTACTGATCAAAACACATCATGAAAGCTCTTTTTCTGTTCTTTTCAACTGTAGAAGCCAAAAGGCTTTCATTACAGCAAGGATTCACGTAGAAATCAGAACAAAGTGATAAATACTTTGCTTAGTAATATGTTGCTAGAAGAAAGGGTTCTTGTGCTACAATTACAGTGCTGAATTTTCATTCTTGTTGTTGCAAAAGGCATTCTTTATCATTTTGTATTACTTTAAATTATGATGTTAAAGGATGATGAAACAAGGCAAGGTAAGCTTAGTTAAGTCATTTTAAACTAAACCATATCAAGTTTTGCTTTGCCAACAAGCTGCTGTGTAGTGTAGTGTAGTTGGAGCATGTACAGACTGTACCTTGTGTGCTCACCTCAACCCTACTGAACAGACTCAACTGCAGAAGGAGGGCACTTTAGTTATGTAATAGATTTTTTTTACAGTGTGTGCTTACCTCAACTCTACTGAATAGACTCTGGCTGTAGGAGGAGAGTAGATTAGTTATATATCATGGTGCCTGTATATAGTGTGCTCATCCTGACACAACTGAACAGGCTCTGGTTGCAAAAGGAGGGCACAATAGATATGTGTTATGATTTTAAGGGGTAATCCACACTACACTGACAGTGTCGCCACTGCTCCACTTCACACCATATAGTACTAAGTCCAACCAGTGAGAACCCTCCATGGTCCACCATCTCAGCCAGTTAGGAAGTGGTAAATGGCAAGGGTCTCCTGTGCACCACTTGAAGAGGGGGGTGGGAGGCATTTGCACTGGAGAGACCTGGGGAAGTGCCCAGATTCCCATCAGACCTCCAGCTGGAAAGGTCTTTTACTGGAGACAGTACAATGAGTGATCTAAAGAAAAAAAGCCAGCAAGTGCAAGACAAGAAAGTGGGCAGGACTCTTCCCTGGTGCTGGCTTTTTCCATGACAAAAAAGAGAAGTGAGGAGGGAGAGAGTGATGGAGAAAGGAAAAATAACTATCAACAGAAAATGAGACCAACAGCAGAAGGGGAAGAGACAAGTATCCTCAGGATCCGACATGACATGATAGTTACTGACAAGAAGAGTGATGAACTAGATGCCCAGTAGAGAGAAAACGAGGAAGGCCCATAACCAGGAATGAGAAGGTTAGGGTAGAGTGAACCAGATGAGGGATCCCAATCGAAGGGGTGAACTGCAATTTTGAGGGCTTACTCCTATGTTACATAATGGAGGATACCTCATCATCTAAACAAGCAGAACACCAACTGAAAGGTTTTATAATCATTTTGTATATGTTATAGATATATAATTTTTGTACTTCATTACCACATTCAGGAGGATGCCTTCACGGTCCACCACCCTAGCGGCTTGGAATCTGGAAAGTGGTAAATACTCTCAAATTCCATTAGAAAAAAAAGGGGGGAGAAAGCATGATGGAGAGTCCGGAGAAATGAAAACACCGGTGACAGAGCAATGGGTGACTACGAAACCCTATTTTGAAAAGCAGACCACAGAGGCATGGCAGGGATGGGTAACTATCCCATTCTGCTTTACCCATGTTGTTGAGTGAGTATGGTCTAGGATGGGCAAACTAATGAAGTAAACATATCATGAGGATAAACCTACAAACGATCTTGTGGAACCCCCATCTCAACAATGTGCATTTTTGGCCATGGAAATCATAATATGCAAATCAACATAGTCTTACAGTGCAGATTTGAACAGTTAAAAAATACCTGGTCAGTCACCACTCGACAGAGAGTGGGATCCAGACAATGAGTAGCAACAAACAAATAGAAATAAAAAGGAAAAAGGTCCCTGAAAAGTATGAAAAGAGAAATAAAAGATAACTTACCTGAAATCTCACAGAAGTCTGAAGAATGGTTACAAGCAGAAGATGATAACCCAAAGATGAAGATACCATGATCTGATTCAAATAATGAGATATGAACATATGAATAGTAGTCCACATGCCCAATTGAAGAATTTTCTCCAATGGACGATGAAGGTGAGACACCAATGAAAAGGTAAGATGTTTGATTGGATAAGAAGACACAAAGTATGGAAATAAGATGATAAAGTACAACTAAGCCAACAGAATTAAGACCCAAACCAAACTGGTGTGGGTGGAAGGAGAAAGATCATGAACAGTGGATGTCTGCCAAGGAATAAAGAGGCAGAAATGGGCTTCACAGAAGGAAGCCCAGCAGGCAGTATAACAGCAAAGAGCATGTACAGGACATAGAAGTCTATCTGGATCAGACCGAGGATGAAGGTGGGAAATGGAAGGAAAGAAAATTGGCATAAGGAGGAATTATCCTATCGAGCCTCCCAAGTTTTGGGGAGGAAAGAATGATCCTGACAAAGGAAAATATATGTAGAATGATAAAGGGTACGTGAAACGTTGATGGCATATAAATCTGACCTCCAATATACACAGACTAAGAGGAGAAGGAAATAAGTCTTAAGGGATTGGTTAAACAACAAGCATGTGGACAGTAGATTGAACGGAGGCAGTGAAGGACTACATTAACATCTCAATCCGGAAGGACAGTCCACTGAGGTGGAGATGAATCTAAAAGGAATGCATTAATAGGGAAAGAGTAGGAGAGGTAAACACCATATGGTATGGGGAAAAATTAAAAGTATGGGACAAGTCAGCCCAATAACCCACGATCAAGGAAACAGAAGACTTCTGATCAAAAAGCCAAGTGAGGAAATCTGCAATATGAGGAATAGTGGGTCAAGCGGGTGAAAACCTAGACCCAAAGACCAATGGCAGAAAATGTTCCATTTATGTTGATAAACCTTCCTAGAGGAAGGAAAAATGGAACTAGCTAGAAAATAAGCTAACTGTCAAGACAAACTAGATCTCCTTGCCAAGGACTGGATAAAAACCTAAAAACCAGGCCTGAAGATGGAGGACAGGAGGGGCTGGATGAAACACCAGTGGCCGAGGTTGACGAAGATGGGATGGAATAAGAGAAAGAGGTAATGGAGAGAAAGCTTGGAGCTTGAATAGTCACGAGAACCACAGCTGAGACAGCCAGTAAGGACCTGACATGGAGTGGCATGGATGATTACAATCACCCTGTGAAGAAGGCTATGGGAAGATAGACATACAGGTATTTGTTGGTCCAATCCTGACTGAAAGAATCTACAGCCAGAGCAAGAGGATGAGGAATCAGAGACTAAAACATAGGCAATTTGGTGTTGATGGATGTGGCAAATGCATCAAGGTGATGAGTACCCCACTGAAGGCAAAGCCACTGAAAAACAAGGATTGAGAGACCACTCTGTAGGATAGACTTTGTCTGGGAGGGAAAGCTGATCTGCAACAAGATTCACAACACCTGGAACATGACATGCAATAATATGAATATCGAGCATGTGGTCCCACAAAAAAAAAGATCCAAAGTATAAAAATATTGGAATCAAGAATGGCTGCCACCTTGATGATTGAGATAAGCACTGTAGAATTGTCGGAATAGATCATTACCAGACGACTCCTGGCCAGATGGAGAAAATGAACCAAAGCACAGCATACATCGAGAAGCTCCAGGATCTTTATATGATATGACCTCTCAGCCACAGACCAATGTCCCGAAGCTTCCTGTTGATTGACCCATGCCCCCAACCTTGAAGGGATGCATCTGTGAAAATGTGTAAATCTGGTACAGGAGGAGGAAACAGGTCACCCGCTAACATGTAAGACTTGTCCAACCACAAGTGAAAATCACCGACAAGGGAAGGAGGAAGAGAAATAGGAGCCTTCAAAGGATCCCATGCAAGATTCCACTGGTCGTGAAGGTACCGCATATATGCACAACCTAAGTGGATAAGGACTTTCATGGAAGACCACATCCCCAAAAGCGACAGAACTTTGCAAGCTGTAATGGAGGAAGTAGTAAGTCAAAGAGCAAAAGGTTGGGCCCAACTGAAATGGGTGTTGAAAAAACACCCAAATGAACAAAATATTGAGAAGGAAGGACTTCTACAGGAGCAGCCAATGAGTGTTGTGGGTGGACTCCTGTTTGGAACGAGCTAGCAGTAGCCAATCATCCATGTAATGATGGAAGTGCAACCCTTGAGCATGTAAGTGATGGGCAAACACTTTGACCACCTGATAAAAACATACGGGCCGAAGCAAGCCTGGAGGGCAATGCGTGAAACTGATAAACCACCCCATGGTGAACAAACTGAAGATAGTGTCACAAGTGACAAGATATCAGGATATGCAAATAAGCATTCACGACGTCCACCTTGGCCATCCACAAACCTGGAGAAAAAAGCCATCTGAGGGTGAGAAATAGGATAGAATCAGAAAATGATTGAGGCGGGAGAAATCTATCACAGGCCTCCAGTCTCTAGTTTTCTTGGGGACAACAAACAGCCTGGAATAACATCCTGGAAAAAGATGATGGACAGGTTCGATGGCCTGTTGAGATAGGTCTTGTACCGCCTCAAATAGACATTGACCGGTAGTAGGTTCCCAAGGCAATTGGAAGGAAAAGGGTGCCTGAGATAAAGGAGAGGGAGAAAGGAATTGTAGGACAAGTCCCTCTGATAAAACTTGAATAACCCACAGATCTGTGGTGAAAGGTCACCAAAGGGGAAAAAAATTGGACAAGCAAGCTCCTAATGGATCAGAATCCACCAGGTATTCATCGGTACTGTTGGTGATGTGACCATCTACATCGCATAAAACAACAAGATGAAGAACCCCTGAAGGGAAGAACAGAGAGAGAGAAGAAAGCCGAGAAGAAGTAGGATGGGAAACAGAAATAAGAGCCTGTCTTGGCTCGGACTGCGACAAATGTGCAACCAAAGAGTAAAGGGTAGAGTGGGATGCACTGACTCCACACATGATTCCAAAGTCTCATGCACATCACCAATATTGCAGAAGGGACCATACGTAAATCCCTGAGATAAAGGGGTGGTAAACAAACCTGCAACAAGGCCGTGTCTCTACCCAGAACATCCCAACAATAGAGAAACCACATGTGCAAAGTGAAAGCTGATGACAACAAATGTGCCAATGTGGAGGTAATTAGGGAGAGTCTCTCCCTCAAAAAACCCTCAGGATCTGTGTGAATTGGCTTGGAAAGAGATGTATTGTAGATAAAGACCATAGAAGGGAAGTAAGGGTAAGACAAAGGCAGGAAAACTGGGCACGGGATAATTGTACAGAAAAATCAGGGACTGCCCTCCACACAGGTAAAATCAACTCAAACTGCTGAGAGTCGAGAAACAGACAGTAAGTCTGATGGTAAGCTAATGCAAACTGATCCATAGTTTATGGAGAGCGAGGCATATTGGCACCCTCAACTAACTGAGAAACAAAATGCTCAGCATGAACCCTAATATATGGGGAAGGGGAGAAATTAAATACTGAGATGAAGAGGTATCATGAAACAAAGAAGGATGGTAATTATAAGAAATTGGAGAAATGAACAAAACATCACATACTTGAAAAATCGTGTCTAAAAATGCTGTATTAGGCCTTGTTGATTCTGCAGGAAAGGCAAAGGAAGACACAGCAAAATTCAGTGGTGGAAAAAGGCTATCTAAATCCTCGTGAGCCCAAACACATTCAGCTTGTTCAGGAGGAAGTGGGACAAGTTCAGGAGAAGGAGGTTGACCCATATAACAATCAATCTTACAGCAGATGATAGCAGATATATCCACCTACAGTTTGTATGATAGTGCTAGTAGGAGGTATGATACCCGAAGTGCTAACGTTAACCTCAGAATTCATTATTGAAATATAACATCAAACACAAATGTTTGATGGGAAGAAAAAAGTGTAGATTAAGAAAAAAAGACTGGGAAATTAAGTTAACTGAAAACTTGTCAACTATGTAAAGATATAAAAAACAAGTAATGATGAAATTCCACTTTGGAAATTAAACTATTTAAATTCACAAATTCAAAAAAATATGAAGAGGATAAAAAAAAACGTCTTGACACAGGTACTGCCAAACAAAAAGTGGTAGTTTGGTATAGAGTTGAATAGGGGAGTCATATGCATCAAAACAGCATGTCACACTCTTTATTTGTGGAGGGTTTTTGCATGATTATTTGCACGAAAGATGCATTGGAATCAGTCAATTCCAGATGGGTGGGAGGTTTAAGGCTTGTACCATGCAAAAAAGATTTTGCATATAGAGGGCAGCATTGAACAAGAATAGCTACTTATGTGAGATGAGGTAATGTACCACATCAGAAATAACATATCCAAAAGAAAACAATTACAAAGTTTCAAACTATTTCATTGAGTATTTTTTTTGCAATGCTATCAAACAAGCCATACAACAGGGGCATCTATTCGATGCTGCACCTGGGTCTCAAAATGTTAATAAACAAACCCTTTCTCTTGCACATAATGTTATTGAACATAATGTGTTTTACATACATCCTCACCTGAAAACAAAACTAAAACCTTTAGTATGAAAAATTTTAATTCATCTTACATCAGCTACTATTAAACATAAAATACATTTTGACTTGTAGCTCACTAAATTTGTAACTAAAACGTTTATCTTGCCACTAGGTTATGAACTTTCTACATCCTCTATAACAAATACGAGCATCAATTTGTTAGTTAATCTGAATAAATGGACAAGCAGATGAGTAAAAATTATGACAATTATCATTAACATCTAATTAATAACAAAGGTCATTTAATTGTGAGCTATCATCAGCAGTGGTTTAAGTTAGCCTCTTTTAAGATGGTAATAGATGATTTCTTGAAAAATCAATCAATAAATAAATTTTACTTTTTTACTTTTTCTTTGGGCTAAGTGTGTAGGGACAGTCTTGAAGGTCAAACAGTCCCTTGTTGTCCATTAACATTATGTTGGTTTAGTGTCTAGATCATAATGACCATGAAAGCTATGCTACTAAAAACATGCCTACCTTTGACCATGAAAGCATGTCTCTAATGGTAAACTTCTTTCTGAAAATTCCTTTTTTATGTATGTTGAGATTGTCCTCTGCATACTTTACAATATCCTCTTCTGGCAGCAGCTTCTTATCAGACATCAATGCATTGCCCATTAACAAAGCTTCCTTTAGAAACATGGATAAAGCAAAGGAACTAAAACATTTATACAACCAGGTACTATATGTCATCTTACTGTCATTGAAAGAACAAATAAATTACAGCACAAACAATTTTTATAAGCAATTACATATATCAAATATTTTACATATCTAGAGTTAATAGGAATTTCAAACAGGTGCGTAACTTGGAAATACTAAAATCCTATGCTTGTTTAGTTGTCTTCATGCAGTCAACAACCGTGTGACTTCAAATTTTGAATGTCCTTGATGCAATGCAAAACAAAGTCAACTTAATCAGATATTCTAAATTCTCCCATATCTAATGTGATTTGTTGTGTATGCATCTGGAAAACATATATATGACCCACTTTCCTAACAAAACCCAGATTTCTATGTTTGAATCATGATGATGGGTGGGAATGTAATTCAGAGGTAAGTACCAAATGAAAGTATTTTAATTCCAAAATTTAAAATTCTAATCATATAGACTTCTTTTTGAAACACTAAAAAATCCAAATATCCACATTGAAATGGAAGAGGGGACCAGAGAATGCAGTGCCATAAGAAACACAGATTCCCCAAAAGTAAGGCTTTTAAACAAGAAGGCAATGACATAGCCCATAACAAATTAATTATGTGGTCAAGAAGACGAATTTGAGTAGAATCCAAAACTAGAGTAAAAGTCAATGGAATGGATTCATAGGAGAATCTAGTGAAGTGAACAAGCTATAAGACTGAACCAAACTGAAGGCACTCAGAAAGACACTCTTTTCAATATAGTACCTTCCTTCCCTAGACAACTGTTAATAAAGTATGTCAGTAAATGAGGATCAGGGAGAAATTACAGAACCTGTGGAGCAATGCATGTTCACAGGTGTGGTCACAAGCGACGGTGTAAAAAGTAAACAGGGTCAGAACACAAAGTGTAGTCCTGTACCCATAATGCAAGATGCCCAGAGAAAAAGACCAGTAATAACTAAAGATTGGATGTGCTCCTGGAGCTTAATCCACCCCCCCCCCCTCATTCTACTTTGAAAAAGCCAGTTAAGTCACAAAATGAGCCTAGTAATAGGCACCCACAGCGAACTGAAAAGACTTAGGCAATCCCAAGGACGGGTTTAACAACTCATGAAGGGCAATGGGGACACAGATTAAGGTGATATAAAGTATATGTAATGTGCAAGAGTCTTTTCTGGGTGAATCCATAGACAGTCTTAAATTATAAAGAGAGACCATAATTTTCTTTTAAATATTTTTAGCTGTTGTGCTATAATCAAATAATTTCTCAAATTAAGACACCCCTGGAACAGTGAACAGATTAGCAGTATATAAATACCTGGGTTGTCATACACAATATAGACGTGGGACAATGTGGTAAGAGCAGACAATAGAGAATAATAATGGCTAGAGAATAATGTACCTGCTAGGGATTACAACCAGAAGCAAACAGAATCCTGAACCCAAAGAGAAAGCAATATGATGTAAATAAAAGTTCAAGAATATATTTGGATTCTTTAATATGCCAGCTTACATGAAATCTTGTAAAAGGTGCTGCAGCCAAGACACAAAAAAATAATTTGAATGGAAAATTTGGTGAGAATTAAACAAAAATTCATTTTTGAAGCACTTGGGAACATCACAGTATACATGAAGGGCAAAATGCATAAGTTAATTTGTCAACATGGCTAGAACAAGATACAAGGAGTATGATTTGCATATGATATACACAACCTTTACGAGCCTTTCTGAAAGATTTAGTACATGTGAGATAACAATGAGTAACCTGGCTGGACATAAAAAAAACTTTTTCCCAATAAAAAATCCAGATCAAGTATAAGGCCTTCCAAGAAAATAAGGTATGCGAACCAAGGAAATATCTGATGCATCTACAAGAAAGTTTGACTTCTTAGACAACAGCCAACCATGACACATTGAATGTCAAGTGTGAAAAATGGGTGTTCAAGGTTACCAAAGATGTTTCCAAGGTGGTATTAGGCCTGGATCCCCCATAAGAAAATGAATGAAATAGGAAAAGCCATGGTTGAACCTATTAAATTGAAGTGATGAAAAGAATCTGGCATTTTGCATAACTGATTTTAGAGAGCAACCAAGGAAAACAGCAAAGAAGATAAGCAAAAAGAAAAAGGTTCTCTCTAGGTTGACTAAGAACATTCATAGCCAGAGAATTTGGATCAAGAACTGTAGACCAGTGGAGTGAGAGAAGGAGCCTGTCAAATTATGTGAAGACATCCCTTGTTGAACGATCTAAACATCTGCAAAGCCAATGAAAAGCCAAAGAGAATTGGGGAGAAACCAACTATCCCCAAAAAAAAGAGAGTTTGCCATATGGTCATCACACCAAGACTCAAAGGAGAACTTGATGAGAGTAAAGCCAAATAAGTAGAGAAACTGCATGGAAAACAAAGGTTTTAAGAATGAGTACAACACTAATTGTTGATGTAAACTACCACTGGAGAACTATCTATGTGAACTAATATAGAATGGTGGTATACAATAGGCAGAACTAAAGACAAGTATGATAAAATAACACAGAGTTCTAATATGTTGATGTAAGCTGTTGCTTCCAAAGGATTCCATCCCAGAATGGCACTGATTCCTCAACACAGTGCCTAAATCGAGCAGGAAGCATCTATTAGAAGATGAAGGTTTAGAGGACAAGAAAGAAAAGGAGATCCTGTTAATATAAACTCTTGGTTCACCCAAAACTGGAGAAGCACAAGAGTAATGGAAGAAATAGGCATACTATCTAATAACAGGTCTGAAGTGAGGTGCCACTGAAAGGAAGGTCACACTGGGGGTGATGCCTGTTAGAACACACCAATAGAATGATAATGTGAACTGAAGTCCTTGTCTCCAAAGCAAAACAGGATTTTTGGGGTTAAAACAATGTTTTGGCTGTAAGTATATGAGGCTCTAATGCTTGCAATGCCATAGGAGACATGAAAGCATTCCTTTAATTCTGTTAATCCAAAACCCAGATGTTCCAAATACTGTGTTGGTACTAAATGGAAATCAGAATTAGGAATGATCTCCACAAACAACACAGCCAAATAAATGTGTGTAAGAGACTGAATGAACAGGAGGATCAAAATAAGACAATCACTCATATAAAAGTCAACATGAATGGAGAAGACCAGCAAAATTAGACTACTCAACAGAAAATATTTAGAGACAAAAGGAAAGACAGTGAACTGATAATCTACTCCTAACAGCAAATGAAGATGATGAAAATGACAAGGAAAGCAAGGCAGAAAGAAAGATTTCTATTATTCTCTGGTCATCTAAAAAAGAATGACTATCAGAAGTAAGTTGAAATGGTAAAACCCTATTCAGCCCCTGCCAGCATGCTTCTTTTGAACAAAATACTAGTGTTGGTGAAAAGCTAACAAAGACAAATGATGCAGGAAAGCTCTTTAAAGTTGGAGGGAAAGTAGAAAGTGTGTGTGTTTGGTTTGGTTTGTTTTGTTTTGAATTTTGCGCAAAGCTACACAAGAGCTATCGGCACTAGCCGACCCTAATTTAGCAGCGCAAGACTAGAGGCTAGCGGGAAGGCAGCTAGTCATCACCACCACCCATCTAGTCTTGGGCTACACTTTTACCAATGAATAGTGGGATTGACCATCACATTATAATGCTCCCATGGCTGAAAGGGCAAGCATGCTTTGGTGGAACAGGGATTCGAACCCATGACCCTCAGATTGTGAGTCAAGTACCCTAACCACCTGGCCATAGGGTGGGAGTGTAACTTGTAACAAAGCGTAACAGGCTAAGGTATAAAGAATATAAAAACCACATGGTAATAGAAACTCCATTTGTGAAAACTGCAATGAAGGAAGACTGCAAGATAAAAATTTTATCCTGACGAAAATAACCAGGAGAAAAAGACAGATTAAAGTAGAACACATCATGAAAGATTCCCCCCCCCCCAACCAAATAAAAAACTACCTGTGGGTAAAAACACTTGAGAAATAGAATGAACAGAGGAAGATAACCCAACTAAAGGGCTATTAACTCTCTGTTGATTTTAAAAGCATAAAAAATTACCTGAAAATCAGAAGATGGAAAACATAAAGATTTAATAATTGAATCATCAAACATAACATTATCACCCTAAGGTATAAAAGAACTAATTCAAGATATAAAATAGGGCATATCTATGAACCAGATCAGACAGCCAAGCAGAAGCTTCTTTGGAATTAAGACTAGCTGATAAATCCTTTTTAAACAATGATGATGATGAACAGGCCTAATGATAGATTAATCATTTGTTTTTTTACCATCATCATCATAATAATAAAAGAGCTGATGTTTTGTATATGAGCATCCACATAAATGTGAAACCTACTAGGGACATCTACAGACAAAAATGGAAATAAAGGCATAAATACATTGAATATCAAAAAGGGCCAACAATACAGCCAAGGACTTCCCCTGCATATTATGTTAGAAAGGTCCCCATAAAAGTTATGAAATTTCCAATACTAGTAAAAACATTAGTAGCAATAGTTAACACTGATTTCAGAATTCATACTGAGTAAAAATAATAACACAACGACCAACAACATAATCTAGCTTATGGTAATAAGTCATGTGGAAGGTGGGAGAGTGGAGAATTGTGGATAAGTTGGCAAATGTCTCGCAGTTCACCAAGGACATTCAGAGTTTAAGGCATATGGCTGATGACAGCATGAAATCAAACTCAATAAGAAAAGGCTAATATTTCAGAGGTATCTAATTCTACCTAATTTGAATGAAGTGTTTTCTGTGTTGAAGTGAAAAAAAGTTATTGATTTATTGTAAGTCATGGTAAAAGTTCCTCTATTTAAATAGTAATACTTTTCTTTTACAATAAAATTACATAACAGAAAACTTAAAACAGCCATAATATTATACAAGAATAATAAACAATAGTAAAAACTGTCTCGAGTAAATGTAATTAACAGAAGATCTTTCTTATGTCTTTTTTTTATACATGCAAGGTTTTATTCAGACTTAAAGTACATGAAATAAAAGGGCTAGCACTCTAATACTCATTAATAAAACTCTTCAAATTAGTTGAATATAAATGGAACCATAACTACAGAAATCAACTTCTCTGGTGATTAAATTTTAAAAGATTACCAATATTTTCTAGTAAAGAATGACAAGATGTCTTCCTTGAGGGTTTAAGAAAAATAAGTATTACTACATTTGTTTTTTTTGCCTATTCACATAGGCAAAAGCATGGTTTATTGGAGTTAAGTAGTAAAGCTTTTTCCTACAAAAAGACTGAAATAATCTTGTTAATGAAGTTATTGTGAAAAAGGAAGTAAATACCAAACATTTTTATAATAACATAATTCTCTCAACAGAAATTGTTAAATATTTCACAATACTATACACATACTACGGTCCTGTTAAAAGTATTAAAGCTAACGGTAAAAATACTGTTAATAGTTCTCTGAACCAATGCAGTAAAGCAGGAAATGTAGCAAAAGAAATAAATAAGTAAATTATTTAAAGAAAATTATCTAAAAATATAATAAAATGAATTAAAGTTTGGATACCTTCAGAAGAGCTCAAACAAAATGACATAACACTGTAAGAAAACACACACTGTCAAATACCTTTATTATATTACTGTTCTGAATGTGAAATAAATAAAAATATTAACAAATGCATAATTTAATAAAAAACCAATAATAATGTATTCTCATGAAAATGTACTAAATTATTTAAAAAATCATATAAAAACAGAATATTTCATGGTTTAAATTTAAACTTAAAAAATATCAGATAAGTCTGATAAGCATGAGATGCCTTTTACAATACAAAGAATCTGAAGAACCATCTAGCTCATGAATTAGAATTTGAAAATTTTACCAAAACAACAGATTGTAATTCATTTGTTTGAGACTATACTATGAAAACATTAAACAACAATAAAAGCAATAGCAATCTGACCTGTCTATTAAGTGACCTGGTCAATCTGGCTGCAGTGATTCTTTTGTCTGTCAATAAGGATGCTGGACTTAGTGGACTGTGCCCTCCACCAAACATTATTTCCTTCTGAAAAAACTAAACCAGAGATCAATTTACTAGGAAGAAGAAAACCCAAAAGCTCACTTACGTAGAAAATGCATAAAGCATTGTTTGAAGCTTTCTAGATTACTGGACTCTCCTTAATAAGAAGAAACAAAATATTACAACTAACTTCATTATGATAGCATATGAAATAAATATTAATTCAAAATGAAAAAAGAGACAACTACTACTCCAGCTTTGTTGCTCATAAGATACATTCTATGTCCCTCTTACTCAATATTGTTTCATTGAAAACCTCATGAAAACAAAAGAAGCTTTTACTTAAAAAAATACATTTATCTATATTTTCTATGAAATCAGACATAAAGCTCAACATTTCCATCAAAACAATTGTAAAATAGCAAAACTTTAAAGTAAATTCACTTGATGAACAAGTTAATTTACTTTAAAGTTGTTTCTCAGAGTTAGTAATTTCATATAATTTAGCTTAACTTCAACTCTCCAGTTATAATTGGCATAATAGCTTAAATAATAAGTTAACTACATGATTTTCTAGAGAATTATCATTTAATGCAGCCAATCTGCAATAAAATGATTGTTTAAAAACAGAGAAGATCTTAATTTCAGATTTTCTAAAATAATTTATGATTTCTGAGGGAGTCATAATGGAGAAATCTATTAACTTTTTTCTGTCATTCAATACACAATATTCATCTCATCAAATATGATGACCAGTTGATTTTCTTTAAAGTTTCAACCTTTACCACTCAGCATTTAAAACCTACCTGGGATTTTTCCAAAACAGGAGAGTAAAGAGGAGGAGAGCGGGAAGACTTCTGGTTGTCTGGATTAAACATCAACCCTGACAAAGCACGTTGGCTATCTGAGCGGGAAGGAGAAATTGACGAATATATCCTGCTACTATGTTTATCACTTTCCTCTAGCCATGATGGAGGTTGAGTAGTAACTAAATAGAATAAGTTAATAGAAACTGTAAATATGTTTTACTATAACAATTTGTTGCTGCAGAAAATATGTAAGGTTCTTCTCAATTAAAATTTAACATATAAAGTGAAAATAGAATGCAAAAGCAATAAAAAACTAGTAATCAATGACCTTTGAGATTGCCATAATTATAGTGAAATACAAAATTATACACATCTACTTAGCCACATGACATTCCACCTTGAAAAGAAGAGTTCTGTTTGCCTATAAGATCACATTCTAATAAAAAGTGGGTACATCCTTGACATTAATCACAATATTATTAACATTTTCAATCAATCATTAGTTGGTGAAATATTTTGACACTTCTCTTGCAAGAATGTCCAAAAGGAGTGAAATTTCAGGATCCATCCTTTCTGTCCCTCAAGCAAATCCTAAAGTGTCAGAGTGATACAACTACATCCACTGCAAAACACTGCTGAACATGCCATACATAATGCTAAGGCACACAGAATTCCATTAAGGTAGGTAATGCAGCATTATCTCCAGAATGCTATAACTCAACAAGTCACTCATGGATCCTTTAAGTATTTTTAGTAGATCAAGTCTAGGATAGTCTCACACTATTACTTTACTCTTACCATTCTTCACAGTTTGCCCAACACAGTCATATTACAGTTAACATTTTCTTTACCTAAAAATGTATTTCAGATGGATACTCACCTCTCTGTACAACAAAGAGCTATTACCTTGTGCTCATTGCCATGCAAATTCCTGTGCATGCCATAAGTTTTGAACAAAGCTCCAACAAGTATCAATGTGTATTGCACCAACCTAAGATAGATGTAATCATCATTAGACTATAGCCCTCCATCAACAGGAGGGCATCACATCCTCCATGCATAGTAATCCCCATGAACACTAGCATTTGAATAAAGATTATTCTCAATGAGGCAAAGAAAACACACCAAAAGTGGGGGAAAATGGTGAGAAGTTGTGCAGAGAGATGATTATCTATCTGAAATATATTTTCAGGTAAGGAAACTTTAACATCATAAACATTACATATCTCTCTGCAAAACAAAGATCTAGAATCCCACATTGAAGATTGTGGATGGGCTGGTTCAGAGAAATAAATTACATAGATGAGCACCTTTCTGAAAACAGTGTCAGAAAGAGAAAGCCAACAGAATGTGATAACCACAAGACAGGGGTAACCTGATGGGGTAGCCCTTGGTGGGAGACTACATCCATTTCAAGTATGGTATGCTGAATCAGCCATTATCTCACAGGCAGGCAGCTAAGCATAAGTGTGCAGTGTAGTTAGGGCTACAAGTCAGGCTGCTCCCTACAGAACAAATACTTACCTGAGATAGTCCCCACAATAATCAGGTGAAGAGAGAAGCATCCTAGACTTGTGTCCTGAATTGAACCCAAGACCAAATGAAGGGTGCATCCACTCTATCTTGTACTAGTGAGATTGCAGAGCCCTATCAGAAAATCTCCACATCAACTTCCTTAGCAGCTTGGAAATGGTTGTTCTGTACTAGAAGAAAGGGGCAAAACACTCGAAAAAGTGCTTGAAACAAATACTTGAGATAGTCCCCAGAATAATCAGGTGAAGGGAGAAGCATCCCAGACTTGTGTCCTGAGGTGAGCTCAAGACCTATATGGTTTGGTTCATAATATAGTAGGATACCCTCTACTATACTACCAGGTAACACCCCAGTCGTACTTCCCAAATGAGGGGTGCGTTCACTCGATCTTGTATTAGTAATATTGCAGAGCCCTGTCAGAAAATCTCCACATCAGTTTTCTTGAAATGGTTCTCCCATACTCCACTAAAAGAAAGTGGGAAATTTGCATGGGACAAAATACTGGAGAAGTGCTTGAACTGTGTCATCAGGCACAATTATATGGAATTAGGTTCCACGCTGAGTGACAATGCAATGAGTTACCATGACTAAAAACAGCAGTTGTAAGCTAGGTGTTAGGGTAAGCACACATGCTGTCATCTTCTTTTTTTTTCCCCACAAGTGCAGAATAGTCTGAAAAATAAAATATATAAATATTGCAGAAGCAGTCTTGCAGAATACTTCATCTCAACAGTGGCCACTGAGCAAGGGAAGATAGGCTTAACACTTTCCTTACTCCCCCACTCAATGCAAATTTTGAGAATGTATTTCCTATGAGGCAACACCTGGCACAGATAGATTCCAATCTCTCCACAACACAAATATGTAATATGTTGCGAGATATGAAAATTAAACAGCTCAACATCAGGGAGCCATTGTGAAGAGTGGAGAATGGTGACTAGAAGGAGATGAAAGCCAGGGTAGGTAAAACCTCCCTGTGATATAAGGAATGTGACAATGCATTGGAGTCATCTACATCTGTGCATCTGAAGTCTCATACAGGGGATATGGATGGTTAAAGACAAGAGAAGCCTTGAGGTAATAAAATGATGGACAGAGATATTAAAATACACAAGGGTCATGACTCATAACAAATAATCTAAAGTATAACCAAACCACGCAAAATGGAAGGAGACAAGTTATTAGAGGAAAGGAAATCCCACAGGAAAAAAAAAACATATCAGTATGAGCCTTAAAAAGGGTCAGTGTAAAATACACTGTGAAAAAGGCTATACAGAATAAAGGAGACAATCTGAGTCAAAATAATAATACAAGGAAGGGAGGATGAATGGGGAAATATTCAATCACCCTATTAAGCCACCCAAATGTGGGGGAGGGAGGAGAGGTCAGAGAAGAAGAATAACTGGTCCCTGTGATAGAGATTGTGGGAGGAAGCTAACAAAAGTGAGAGGATAGCTCTCATAATGGAGAAGTGAAGAGGAGTTTGAAAGGAAGTGACAAAGGGATACTCTTAGTAGAAGGAAATTCATAGAATCACCAGAAGATGGAGAAACCACCCTGTAGGAAGGGTCCAGGCCAAGGTGAGATATTAAACCTGAGCTCCTAAGACATGATAGGCTGACAATAGAATGTGTTGGTCATGGACCCAAAAGAGAAAGTCCAGAGCACAGAAATAGAAGTCCCTGAAGCAAGTGCATCCCAGTCAGGAGATGGAAGGAACAATGGAGAAGGTGTCTTAATGTATCATAATAAGGAGACCAGACAGACAAGAGAAAGTGTGAGAAAGCCTGAAGAGCTGCCATTATCACAATGATATAGAAATAGAGAAACCTCATCTCAAGAGACCAGATGCCACAAATGGATCAGGCCTCTGGAATAGAGGAAGTGGTGGAAAGGGGTATCTATAGGATGGGTTGACATAAAGCTCAAAACAACACATTGTGCTACCTGTGCTGGACTCAACATGGATATAGAACCCCACAGGCATACTGTTGAGACCAGAGGAGATCAAAACAGATGCAAGACTGGGGCAACAGGGATGTCCAGAGTTGTGTAGGATTGAGTGAACCAACCACAAGAGAGGAAAGAAGACAGTAATTATTTGGATACACCCACAATGATAAGCTAGAAATTACTGAAGGGCACATGTATGGGTACCTTCAGGAGAAACATGGGACTCAGGAAACAAGAAAGATCCCAAGAGAAACAGAACTTCTCATACAGGAAATGATAATATAAGAGCCTGGGAATTTAAAAACCGAAGCTTCTAGTGCATAATAAAGTAGGCTGAGTTTTCCATGTATACAAAGTGAGAAAGACCCCTAAGTAAATGAGATACAAGGTGGGAGTTGAGACTGAATTGGAGAACCGATTTAGCCACCCCAAGCAAGACAAATCCTGCAAGAGAAGAGATATTGCAACAGAGAAATCCACATTGAACAGGGCAAGTTAAAGCTAAACATTCATAGAAGAATGGAACATGGGCCTCAAGAATGTAATTGCTAACCAAAAATTCAACAGACCAAAATAAAAAAGATTAAGCTGGAGCCAACTTGAAAGGAAGGTCTGAATGTTCAACCATTAGGGATACAAATGAAAGAAGCAAAAGGTAGGAAGATAGATTGGGATATTGAGAACATGTTTGAGATCTCGACCTGAGCCATCCACCAGCTGGGTAGGAAACTGTCCATCAAGAACCAATGGAAGGATAGAGTTGGGTCAAATGATACAAATTGATGAATGGCCATCAACTACCTTGTATTCATGGGAATGATAAAAAGATGGGAGTAAAACCCCAGACAGGGGTAGAGGAATCATCCCATGACATTCAAAACAGGTGAAGTGGAGAGTAGAAGGACAGGAAAAAAATATTGAAAATGCACCTAAGGAACACATTAAGTTGTAGCAAAAGGAGCCAAAGGGTGTCACCAGAAAAAAGAATCACCCAAAGAAGGGGGGGGGGGGTATTTTGGACAGTAACAAGAGAACAAAGAACAAGGTCATATGATGAAAATCCTGTTGAGGCCACCTGGTTCCAAAGGTAAGAAACCCAAGTGAGAAGACAACTGCTGTTGAGCTGTATTTGCTCAAAGCACTGAAGTAGAAGAAATACCCCAAAAAACTGCATCACAAAGAAAAGAAGCAAGACAGAGGGTCTGGAGAGAAGAATGAAGAAGACAAATGTCAGAAAATAAAGCAAACTGATGAAGTACATCACAGAAATATTGTAGCCAAGGTAATGGGAGAAAATCTATGGTAAAGTGAAAAATAGGTATGTGCAAGATACCCAGTAAAGCTGACAGGATCATGATATAAAGCCCCTAGAAGAAGTGAAAGTATGAGAATGAATGAAGAAGTTAAGGAAGAGGAGGAGTAAAGTTGAACAGAAAGAAAAAGGGAAAAAAGAGATACCTAATCTGAAAGAAGAGATTCAAGTGATGGTAGCTCATGCAACAAGGGAGCATAAGATTTGGAAAAAAATAACTCAAGAAAGAAAAGAAAATAGACACGTACCTGTGGAATCCAAGCAATGAAGGACATGGGTGGGACTACCTTAACCATGTCAAAAAGAAAGAACAAAAAACAAAATAGCAGTGGTGAAACATATTACCAGATGAGGCAGGCTCAGCTAAAGTAACAGAAGTAGGAGGTCAGGAATCCTGGATTACAGTACAGTATTAGTTGATACCTAAGAAAGAGTGCCAAAACTTTGGAAGATATTAGAAATATGAATGTGTAATCCAGTTAATTCACAAAATTGATTTTGTGGTGGTTCTTTTTTTTTAAATAAGGAATGGTACAAAATCCAAGATTTTTTGATTTTTTTTTTTATATTTATTTACTTTATTATTATCATTATTACTTTTTGATAAATAAAATGAACCAAGTATGTCAATGATGCATAAGCCTAATACCAATTATGAAAAACAACGTACAGGATAAGACCCAAATGTTGGGTTAAATAACAGAAGTAATAGGACATATGTTCCAAAAGTACAAATTTGTGTAAAAGATAATCAAACTGAAGATAATATAAATCAATTTTCTAACTGAAAGTTTAAAAAGTGGTGTTGTTCTTCCACATAATCAAAAAAGTTAAAGAAAGTAGGATGACAAAAGTGTAACATAATAGCACAAAAATTCCAGCTATGTCCTAAAAAAACATCCGAAGACAAGCAGTACTGAGGAAAGGATGACCTTTGTTAAAATGCTAGTGTTCATGGGGATTACTGTCCGTGGAGGATGTGTCACCCTACTACTGATGATTACATGTTAGGCTGGTGCAATACATGATGGGAGCTTTGCTCAAAGTTGGGGCAAGTGTAAAAATTTACATGACAGTGCTTGTGAGGTACAAAAGTTTATGGAATTTTAATTAATTTAAGAGTGTAATAAAACTTAAGCCCTTCATTTGAAACAAACAATTATTAGTGGAATTTGTCACTGCAAATGATGGTCTTATTTTACTCTTGACCCCAATTTCAATACTCAAGACACTATGAAAGACAGTGGTTGTGATGAGTAGCTTATTAAGTACTGCAGCTTGTACATAGTGGAAATGCTAGTTTACATTTCTCACTAAAGTCATAGATGATGGATTTAATACCAGGCATGCATTTCTGTTTCAAAGGAGTGATTAATTTATAGTAGTAAACAATATTTAGGTCTTACTTCCACCAGTACTTCAATAAACCAAAGCACATTACTTAATGACTCACATAAGGATTTGTGCCCCAGTGTTGGATGTTTGTTTTGTGGCTGCAAATTTTTCTCTCTCTCTCCATAAAATTACATTATGTTATATACATACACACACACAAACATAAACAACAAATTACCAAACATTGTAAGAAAGCCCATATATACTCATTTAGAAAGAATAATACAATTTGCTAATGATTTTAAAGCTTCAGCAATGTATCTGTCTTAAAGCTCATTTATACATAATATGGTAGTTGCCTATTGTACTGTTAGTAGTACTATCTTTTCTCTGTACGATTCAGTATACTGAGAATACTATAGCTGCATGCAACAGTACTAATTTAATTATAACAATACAATGTGTGAATAATATGAATACTTCAAATATTAACTGAGGCATAAAAGTGGAGATAACTTACACAATAGGTCAAATTAAAGTAACAATATAGTACTAGAAACTACAGTTAGAATAAACTTTGATCTTTCATATTACAGCTTGTTTGTGAATCAGCTTTAGATATTTCCAAATTAGAAAATGACTTTCCAAATACGAATTTAACTAGTAATATATCATATTTTTTTATTATATATAGTGTATCAACTATACAAATACCAAGTAAAAAAGAAAATTAAGTAATAGTATTGATGAACAGGTATTTTCTAGGGAAATTCTTACAGTGATAACAAAGTGATGGCTATCCCTAACAGATGACATTTACAGCTCAAGGTAGTCTTTGAAACTTACCTGGTTGTCTATGGTCAGGTTGGTCTTGGTGATAAAAAGGAGGTGAATAGGGTTCAGCATAAGTTCGATAGTCATCATCAGTCATAAGTCTAGCTTCATCTAGGCCTTCTTCTTCTGAAGAATCTTGTTGACTCATTCGTTCATCATCTGCAAAAGTTCCATCATCTTCTTCAAGATCACCATCAGAATCTTCATCACTTTGGGAAAGTGAGTCTGAAAAGTTGCTATATCCTGAAAGATACAAAACAAATGTGTTAGATACTGAAACAAATTTCAATTAACTATGAAAGAAAATATTTTACTTATAATTTCTTACACTTACTTTAAATACTTAAACAAACAAACTTAAACAAACTCTCAATTTTCTCTCTCATATAAAGGAATTTTTTATAAATAAAAAAGCACCAGACAAAATAACAGTTCCTTAAAGAAAAGATAAAAATTGCATCCAAAATTTCACGAACAGTATTATAACCAAATCTCTTAATATTAATATGATCAATGCTAAAAAAGGTTTCTCAAAATTCAGCATAACAGCATTTCTTAGTAAAAAGGAAGGGGATATATATAAATAGACACACACACACAAATTCTACAGTATATACGTTGTTATAATTTGAATTTCAAATATAACACTTTTTTGGCTTTAAAGATAAGATTTTTTTCTGAACAAAAACCATTGAAAACATGTCATTCATTGGTTAATTTGTTCTTGAAAGTACTGAGATTCAGCCAATAAATTAAAATTTGCATGTATGCTCATGATAAATGTGACATACCTATCCATTCAGATAAAAAAATGTATCTTGATTAACTGAGGGTAAAACTTAATGAAACAAAGTCTAAGTAAATTCACTTACAAAACACAAACAGAAATTTTATGGAGATGTAAACTTCATTTTAGTGGCTTACACTGTCAGGAATAATGACAGATTGTTAATTTGCATAATGTTTCAATAAAAACATGATTTCAATTTATAGTTTGCCATCATTGATAAGTGTAAAATTACAGAGGAAAATTATGCATTTCACTCATCACTGTCCAGTCTTACTCTGAGATGACTACATTTCTTTCTCAGTAATGTGGTCAACTCAGAGTAAGACTGGACTACATGGTAATATGTTACCAGAAAATTAACATACACAATTCAATGTGACGCTAAATAATTGATATGGTAATACATTAAACTAATACCTATATAATCAAAAGAGTAATGTGTGTGCATGCATAGGAAGCTTTTAAATTTTATTAAGCTATGCAAAAATTAAATTAGAAGTAGGAAAGTACAGGCAATGTCCCCACATGCATAAAGTAGAGGTGGGTGTAGATAGTACTATGCACAGCAAAGGGAAAGGTATCTGGGAATAGATTTGTCATCCCTCAAAGCCCCATCTCAGACAGCAGTGTTTATGTGTTAAGGTTTTGTGTGTGTGAATTTCTTCATTATATATAGACACTTAGAATACCAGTACTGTTACCCTGTTGAATTTTAATACTTGTCTCCCATACCTACTTTTTGGAAGTGTCGCTAGATTTGGAGTCTCTTACTAGATAAGTCAATCAATTTGTCATTTTTGATCAGACCATAAGGCCTAAAGTGTCTTTTGTACCAGAGGTGTTTGACAAGTATTACATATTATGGAACAGGTTTAAACCATTTAGGATTAACCTTGCAGTCATTATGACATCCTGCGTGACCATCAGATTCATTCAGAACTCCATGTACCTAACCTCATAGTTTATGCAGGTTACTTAACTATTTTAATTACTATAAATACAAAGCACTGTCTTTACATTTTATACACATTGTACATTCAAATACAAAGTACCATAACCAATAAACATTTTGTACACAAAGGACGAGTTCCTCCTAGTTCTGAATTATTTTAATAATTATCCTTTATTGAAAAATCTTACAGGAAATAATTGTACATAAACTATAGTCAATTCTCAATAAAATATTTCATCATTTAAATGCACAAGTTCAAAGCTCACCTGACAGTTTGGCTTCTTCAAGAAGAAAATTCTGCAAGGGAAAGAAATAGGAATTGCCATCGTCTTTGTAATCCCATAGCCCTGAACAGTCCAAGTTACTGAACAGAGGAGTGGGCTCTTCATTCTCCGGTGGAGGAATTCGAGGTTGTTTACTCTTTGCTGATGATTGAGGTTCACAAGAAACAACTCTCTGAAAATAACGGGCCAGTGCATTTTCACTGCTTCCATGATGACAAGTTGATTTTGTGCCTTTTTCTGATGCTGAAGTGTTAAGTTTGGAGTTTTTACTGCTATATACCACTGACACTTGATCAGGAATAGCTGAATGATAACCTTCCAAAGAGATGTGGCTTCCTTGGGATACCAAACCACTATCAGCTCCTTGACCTGAAGAATCAAAAGATTGTGGAGAACTGTCTGAAGTTCTTCCTCTGAAGTCTGAAGAGTGAGGTACAACTGGACTATGTGGACTAGACATATTGCTATCCGTGCTGTGAGATCCACTTCGAGATATGTACCTTCTATTTACTCCAGGTGTACACAAACCATTGATTAAACACTTTTCTGTACCCAATTCTGATGGACGGTAGGAATGATCAAGAAATCTGAGACGTTCCCGTTGACTAGCAGATAAGTCTTCACTAAAGTGACGCCTCTGAGGAGGAGGCAGAGTTTCTTCCACAGAATTACTCCTTAATGGACTAGACAAGAAGAGAGACTGTCCATTTTGTCCACTTCTTTGTTCTTTGGCTAAACATCCAATTTTTAAGTATGTTCTTGGTGAGTCTGTGTTCTTTACACGACAGGAACTAAAACTTGAAGCTCGAGATAAATCAAATGACCCTTTTCTAGTAATGGGGTTGCTCACAGGTGGAGCTGGTGATGCTAAAAATGGATGGTGAAACACAAACTCTTCATTCAAAGCTCCTCCAGTTTTCCTCAAAGACTCCTGCTGGTTAGACTTTTTGTTTGTAGAAGAAGCAGATTCAAAACTGTCAAATGAACATTCAGATTCTGGCTTTGTCCTAAAAAATAAGTTTATGTCTTAATATTTGCAGTGTGACCTGTTGCATATAATCCTGTCAAATTTCATTGAAGAAGGAAACAGTTATTGCCAAAATAAATTACTTTCAGTGCTTAAACTTTGTATTTTAACCTCATTTTTTGGACCAGTAAGTACACAGTTTGAAATAAATAAAATCTACTTCAATACAAAATTATTCTTATTTCAAAAAGTAGGCATAAGTATGTTTTTCCAGTGTCTGCCAAATGACATTCTTTAAAACCTTCCTACACAATTTTAAATTAGAACAGCACATAAAAAAAACATTTTTACTGTTTAAAAAAAATTAATTCAAACAAACATTAACATTCACTACTAACATTGAGAAGAAATTGCATTACATCAATCTAGCCATTTGTGGCAAATCTACTTCTCCTTTGATTGTACAAGTGAAATATTCCATAGTTCAATGTCACTAAAAATTGGTGTTATAAAGTCTTTCTCATCACACTTCTTCCACTCTACAGTTTATTCATCAGTCAAAATAAATTAAACATTTAATTATTAAATTTAATATACATTCATCTACAGATTTAACTTCAGTACGTTTGACAGTCATGTCCAAATACCTGTCTCAAAATGGTATGTAGTAATAAGAGATGATGGAGGTGTGGTTGGAGATCTTGCCCTGGCCAATCAATACATTTGTGATAAACATACTTATTATACAGTATAAGTAGTTTTCACTGTATAGCAAGTAGTTATTTTGAAAACCATCCAAACACACATATTATACTGCGGGTGCCTGTCATCAACATGAATTCCCTTCAGTTGGAAAGACTTTTAAACCTGGTATAATTGACTAGAAAGATTCATGCTTAAATGCATTATTATTCTTTACAAATATCCAACTGTTGTCCACCAAGTGTTGCTCACAGGTTGTGTTTTTTTTGTTTTTCATGGTGATATATTGATAAATTCTGTTCACAAACTGATAATGTTTGGAAAACAAGTAGTTTCAAAACATCAATTAAAGACAAAAATATGAAACCCTATAACCAGAGTACTTTCAAAAGATTGTCCTGATAAAAAAAAAAAGAGGTCAACCTTTTGAACAAACTTGGGTTATAGGGTTTTGTAATTTTGTTGATAAATTATATTATTGCACATTTCATAAAGTAGCATGGTTTTCCTAATTACCAAGCATTACTTTCCACACAGTCCTGAGTCTGTTTGTATCTGACTTCTTCACATATTATCCTATTCTTATACTACACAATATAATATATGACTTCATTTGATCACTTAAATCCATATGCTCCTTCTTTCATTCAAAGTTTTAAATTTTTGTAAAAGTACAATTCTAGAAAAAATGATTAATTTCATAGAATAATTCCTGATTAAGAGAAGACTGATATTTTTTCATCCATTCAAGGCAAGCTTATCAATTTCAACATAATTATCTCCATAAAATAAGCATATTTATCAAATTAACAATTTAAATAGAAACTTTAATATATCTGTTTTTCTTAAGTTATTAACCTTACCATATTCTTTTTTAACATTCGCAGTTTGAATAACAACTAATGAATATTCAACAGAAAAGCTATTCAATAAAATGTCTTTATGAGTTCTTTAAATTCTGTTTTAATAAACTGTTTCAATTTTACAATAGAAAAATAATACATTCATAAACTTCTTTCTGATAGATAAAAATAATATACTTTTATAAATGTATCTACATCTTGCTTATGAACAATATTTTAGCTTGTATTTTTGATTCATCAACAAAGTATTGATATGTGCCACTTTTAAAACTGTTTAACCATATATCAAATTAATTCATAATATCAATAATTCCATAGAATTATAGATTTTGCAGTGTTCCTTAACTTTTTCTGCTATAAACTACTTCAAGTTTCTTAAGTTATAATCAAATCACAATGTTTCTCTTTTGTTATTTTACGATATTTTGGAAGTATCAATTACAAATGGGGGATATAACCAATTAATTAATTATATATGTTCTCTATGTTTATTCACCATGTATGTAGACAACTACAGGTCAGGATGAATAAACATATTCTTAACCTAGTTCACTACCTAATGTGATTTGAAATATTAGGTCATCAAGAAATTAATGTTGCATTTTGTAACTCTTTCATTAACCATCCCCCAAAAAACGTACATCACGTATAATAGTTAAATAAGCCACCTATACATCTCATTATAATGTGTAAAGTTGAGTATACTCTAAACCCTTATAGTGATGGTACACGACAAGACACTCATTCGACATGTAATGCTGTTTGAATACAAGAAGGGAAACAATGCCTCTGTAGCCATAAAGAATATCAAAGAAGTTTATGGAAATGTTTTGATAATTTGTAAGTGTCAACAATGGTCGAGCAAATTTCATTCAAGTGACTTTAGCCTTAAAAACTGTGATGGCAGGGGCCGACATGTTGGATTTGATATTGATGATCTAAAGACGCTTGTTGAGTCTAACCCAAGGCAACACACACTCGTGAAATGATTCTGAAATTGCATGTCTTTCATGAAATAATATGTCTAAGAAGTATGGGAAAACTCCATGAAGAAGGTGTTTAGGTGCCTCACAAACTCTCCGATGATCACTGTTTCCAACATGCGAACATTGCTTTGTCTCTTCTGGTGTATAATAAGCATGAACCATTTTTGGACAGAATTGTCATCAGTGATGAAAAGTGGGTTTTCTATGCAAATATTAAATGCCAAAAACAATGGCTTAGTCCCAGACAAAAACCACTTCCAACCCCTAAACGTGGACTCCATCTGCAGAAAGTGATGCTTTGCATTTGCTGGGACATCAAAGGAGTAATTCATTTTGAACTCATCAATCCACAGTGAATTGTCAATGCAGAGATCTACAGTCAGCAACTGGAACATTTAAATCAAGCCCTTCATCAGAAATGCTTTTCACTCATCAATTGGAAAGGTGTTCTTCTTCTCCATGACAATGCACATCCACATGTGGCATGTTCGACACGACACAAGATTATGGATTTTGGTTGGGAAGTTCTCTCCTCCCTATCATATTCTCCAGATATGGC